CCAGCCACTCCCGTGTATACAAAGTCCTGAGAGAGAGAGAGAGAGAGAGAGAGAGAGAGAGACCCAACAACAACAACAAAAAAATCTAAACAAAAACAAAAGTCATTTCCAAACTGACTGAACAATCACCGCTCCTGTGTTACCTAAACATGTATTTATGTATGAAGTAAAGCCATTAAATGAATATTTTGATAATAATATTGTTTTTCTTTTGTACAAAAGCACTAGAGAAACGCACAGATCTACTTTGTGGACCAATCATTAAGTTATATATAATATATAAATATATATATATAAATACTACTACGAATACTAAAGAACAATTCTTCATATAAAGCCTGCAAAAGAACAAGAATTCGCCTGAGCTGTTTATGTTTTTATATAAAATAAATAGAAAAAAAAAGACAATCATTGTTTTGAATATTACTCCTATTTTTGTAACGGAAATTAAAAGGATAGTATTTTTATCCGCGACAGGGTCGAAGACATTAATTTTCACCATTTGCTACTGTACATAGAAGGATGCCCTGCTCCCAGGGGATTATGAGGAAAGTGATTTGGGAGTCCAGGAGCAGCCCCAGCCGCTACCGGAAACAAATGGCTGTCAAGAAATACTTAGCAGCCGTCCTGGGGAAAAGGTATAAACAAAGAGTTAAAAACAAAGGACGCCGAGTAGCGTATTTGTAGCGATGAGTAACCAGCCACTCCCGTGTATACAAAGTCCTGAGAGAGAGAGAGAGAGAGAGAGAGAGAGAGAGACCCAACAACAACAACAAAAAAATCTAAACAAAAACAAAAGTCATTTCCAAACTGACTGAACAATCACCGCTCCTGTGTTACCTAAACATGTATTTATGTATGAAGTAAAGCCATTAAATGAATATTTTGATAATAATATTGTTTTTCTTTTGTACAAAAGCACTAGAGAAACGCACAGATCTACTTTGTGGACCAATCATTAAGTTATATATAATATATAAATATATATATATAAATACTACTACGAATACTAAAGAACAATTCTTCATATAAAGCCTGCAAAAGAACAAGAATTCGCCTGAGCTGTTTATGTTTTTATATAAAATAAATAGAAAAAAAAAGACAATCATTGTTTTGAATATTACTCCTATTTTTGTAACGGAAATTAAAAGGATAGTATTTTTATCCGCGACAGGGTCGAAGACATTAATTTTCACCATTTGCTACTGTACATAGAAGGATGCCCTGCTCCCAGGGGATTATGAGGAAAGTGATTTGGGAGAATTGGTGAAGCAGATTCTTCCCCCGGTGAGTCTCAAGGCAGGCTCCTTTGCCACTAGCCTCTCCGAAGAGGCAGTGTCCCCTTTCCTCTCGATTTCGACTTATTTTTTCTCCTCCTGCTTTCTTTGATTCCAGTGGTACCTGTATTAGTGTCTCCTCAAACAATGAGCTTAGAGGATAATTCTCTTGAGAAAACAACAGCTCGATCCAAATTGCGCACCTCTGTTGCCTATTGGAGGGAGAAATAGTTTAAAACAGCAACAAAAAATTCAAAACAAAACCAAAAAAAGCTAACCCCCAATCCCCGACCCCTAAATCCCGAACCAGCAGCAAGGATAGTAAGTACTAAGCCCCTCGCACTGCTCTTCTGGCTGGCTGGGCAGAGTTACAGAACAAAGTGAAAGCGGAGACAGGACCCGTTTTGGCAAGAGTGAGGGAGTCAGCGGGGGCGGCCCCGGCGCGCCCCGGGGCCGGGGCCGGAGCCGCTGGGTCGAGGGAAGACGAGGCGATCCCACCTCCGATCCGCTACCCAACTGCCCCGGGCAGCTCGGTACTGGACCTGGATGCAAAGTACAGTGTGTTACTCTCCAGTGCTGTCCATGCTTCTCATCGTGTGTAATGAGCAGGGTTCTCGCCTTTGCATTTTTTGGTTTTTTCGGTCGGAGTTGCTCTTTTCTTTGATTGTTTTTTCTTGTAGACCCTCCCGCCTCTCATCCTCTCTTCGCACTTTTCCGAGCTCTGTTTAACCCACCCGAGTTACCTTTTCGGGTTATGTTCTTTTGGGGAAAAAAAAAAAAAAAAAAAAAAAAAAAGATTGTGAACGCTCTCTCACTCCTTTGTTCTGTTTTATGCAAGCTCTTATTGTACAAGTCTAGGAACCCCTGTTGTAGCTACCACTAAAGAATTATGCACTACTACGAAAGTTTTTGTTCCTTGTTTATTGAGTTTGGAGGTAAAATGTATTTTTCTACATTCTGGCTTATTGCTTAGTAAAATTTATTTCATAAAACAAACTTTTGTCATAAAAGAATGTGTAGTGTTCACCTGTGGTCGGGTTTCTAACGAGATAAACCATTTTCACCTCATCTCTCTATGTACGGACTCCTATCTTACCTTCCGCCCGGGGGACGGTAAAGCCGCAGCGAACCCGCCCGGGGGCTGGCCCGGTCCCTCCGCCCGGGCCGGGGGCGAAAGGAGGACACGTAGGTACCTGCTTCCTTCCAGCTCACCACACAAACCTTAGAGGAGTCTTGCCAAAGACACAAAACGAGCCCCGCATTCAAGACGGCGGAAAGCAACGCCCCCCCTCTCGCCC